ACAAGGAAGGATGTTAACTTCACAATATTTTTTTTAATGATTATAATGGAGTTTGAACTCAGGCCTTGAGTTTAATCAGCTTGCTTGTTCATCTGGCACTATACTATTGGAGACATGCCTTCAGCTTTGCTTTTTGCTTTTTTTGGCAGGCAGACTGAGTTATAGTGGATTCTTTTGCCAGGTGTTGGTCTTGAACTATGACCCTCCAGATCTCAGTTTCCTGAACATTTTAGGATTACAGGCATTAGACATGAGCACCTGACTCAACAGCATTATTTCTACATCAGTCTTTCTTAATCTTAAATAATCCGTATACAATCTCTGTCCTTTCTCAAAGATCTCAAAACTAAACTTTTATCATTTCAAATAATGGTGCTGCTAGTATTAGGCTGAGAGAAAAGACAGGGCATGAGACTTGTTCTGATACTGTGCTGGAGAAATACTGTGACTATTTACTATATCATAGTAAAATATGTCTCTGACCCTGGTTCCTGACATGTGACCCTAAAACTTTTATTTTCTGAGTACTGGGTGTACTGAATCTTTTGCTTTGGTCGTTTATTCTAAATCTCAAGACTGTTGCAACTTCCAAATGATAAAACATCTTCTAAATGAGATGATTCAGGTTCCTGGATAGGATCTGACAGGTTGCCAAGGGAACCAACCATGAGATTAGCAGATTGGAATTTTCAGTTCCACCCCCAAGTCCCAGGAAGGAGATACTGAATGGCTAATGATGTAAATTAGTCATGTCTTCCTTCCAAAGGAAGCTGCCATAAAACCCAGAAAAAAAATCAAGCATGATGGTGCAAACCTGCAATCCCAAATTTGAGTGACTTGAGGCAGGAGAATCTTCTCTTCTATATATGGCTGTCCACAGGCTCCTTTTGTAATATCCTTTATAATAAGCTATTATTAAATGTGCTTCCCTGGGTTCTGTGAACTGGTGTTGGGGAGGAAGTGGGAGCCTCAATTTACAGATGTTTGAATTTATACGTGGCCACCTACTGGCTGCAATTGGCATCTGAAGTAGATTGAGCTTTTTTTTTTTTTTTTTGTCAGTCCTGGTGCTTGACCTCTGGGCCTGGGCGCTGTCCCTCAGCTTTTCAGCTCAAGGCGAGCGCTCTACCGCTTGAGCCAGAACGCTACTTCCAGTTTTCTAGTGGTTTATTGGAGATAAAGAGTCTCACAGACTTTCCTGCCTGGGCTGGCTTTGAACCATGATTCTCAGATCTCAGCCTCCTGAGTAGCTAGGATTACATGCATGAGCCATCCCTGGCTAGACTAAGCTCTTTACCTCGAAGATCTAATACTCTGCTGTAGTGATAGAACTGGTGTCTGCTGGAGAGTTGCTTGGTGCATAGACCAACCTCCCACTTCTTCTTAGTCACCTTTTCCCTCTTTTTGTAAAAAAGCCCTGGAAATGGCAGGTTAAATGCCACCCCTCCGTCATCTCCAGTCCCACAGAAAGACCAATAAGGATTATGAATGTAAGTTTATGAAAAATGCCAGAGGCCTATGACCTAGAGATCAGCTGAACTATGCACTTATAGTGGTGGCTTAGATGAAGTATGTGTAAATAACTGGGAGGGGGAGAATAAGGAGGTTTTTAAGGGTTCAAGGAATTTTTCAATACTCCACAATTGGCAGATGAGATTAAAACACAGAAGCAGGAAAAGTCAAGGCCACTGACAATTGAAAATATTGGCATGGGGCACAGATGCCTCTTGGCTGGATTAGGACCAGATGGGAAATAGGCTGACCCCCTCAGCTGTTCATCTTGATAATTAAAGTAAATCTTGCACCTGTGACACAATATGAGCTTAGGAACCAAAGACAACTATGAGTAAAAGATATTGGTTGCTTTGAACACAAAAGACTTACTGTCAAGAGGCATCAAGTTTAAGAAGCCTTTTGTTTAGAGGAATAACTAAAAAACCATTTATAGTTCTTAACTGGGCTGAATTAAAAACACTCAAAAGCTCCCGAAGAAGCTAAATACAAGTTTTTAAAATACTTAATATTTGAAAGGTACAGTCCAGTGAGGCAACGCCCTATGAATTAAGCCTCCCTTAAGACCTCAGTCCCATCCCAGATATTAAGTAAACTATGGTAGATCTTTCTTCTTTTTTTTTTCTTTTTGTCAGTCATGGTCTTGAACTCGGGTTGTGGGTGCTGTCCCTGAGCTCTTCAGCTCTACCACTTGAGCCACAGTGCCACTTCCAGTTTTGTGGTGGTTAATTGGAGATAAGAGTCTCATAGACATTCCTGCATGGGCTGGCTTTGAACCACAGTTCTCAGACCTCAGCCTCCTGAGTAGCTAGGATTACAGGCATGAGCCACTGGCACCCACTTTCTTTCTTGATTTTTCCAAATTTCTTTGACAAAACATGGGGAGATTGTAGAGTGCTGAAACTCATGAAACTTACAATCAAATTATTGTGCACCAAGAGTAATAGCAGAGATTTAATGGAAGTAGATTCTAGTGTTTCAGGGGTAAGGAGCCTTTGGAGATTTCCAGAGCCATGGAAATGGTTGTGCTATGCTCACTTTACAATTTTGCTAAAATGTAGCCCAAACTGGAGCTCTCTTCAAGTCTCAAGTGTATCAGTGAGGTGAGTGTCCACTTATGTACAGGGTTTTTCATAACTCAAAAAAGGAGGTCACATTCAATCACTAGTAAAAGATATGATGAGCATCACAGTTCTAAGAATTTCCAAATATTAGTGATTTTGACAAAATAAGAAGCTGTGAAGAAACCCAAATCCATCTTGGGTGGGATATATGTGTGTGTGGCAGTAGCAGTGCTAAGGGATGGAACACAAAGTCTCACACAATAGTGAAGCAGTCTATCACTGACCTAACCCCTTGCCCACGGAGAAGACTTTAGAACACCTTCTGGCCATCTCCTTCAATGTATATTAAAAAGATTGAACAGCCTCAGAAGAAATGGAAAACAAGAACTACTTAGAAAAAGAACCCTACGATAAGAAATGTACTCATTATCTTGCTCATGTAATTGTAACCCCCTCTGTACAGTATGTTCACAATAAAAAAAAAAAAGAAAAAGAACCCTAGAAGGCCAAGTACTAAAAAGGAACTGACTGACAGACCCACTTCTCTGTTAGAAGTGAGGATGGTTTAGTGGTCAGAGGAAATGACTTTCCCAAGGCTCTTCAAGAATGCATCCAAATCAGGGTGTGGTGGCTCACACCTGTAATCCTAGCTACTCAGGAGGCTGAGATCTGAGGATCGTGGTTCATAACCAGCCTGAGCCTGAGACTCTTATCTTGAATAAACCACTCAAAAAACCAGAAGTGGCACTGTGGTTCAAATGGTAGAGCACTCACCTTGAGCTGAAGAGCTGAGGGGCAGTGCCCAGGCCCACAGTTCAAGCCCCACAACCGACAAAAAAAAACAACAAAAAAAACACATCCAATTCCAGACACCCAATTCCAGACACATCCATTCCAGAACACACACACTATGGGGAGAGCTAGCTGACAGTACCACTGCTCATCCTTCTCATAGGTATTCTTCCTCATTTCAGTATCTGGGATTAAGCTGACTTAACTATTTTGAGAGCAGAGTTTAGAAAAATGGAAGGTTTAATTCCTTGTTCATAATTATCTACAAGAATGTAAGTTTCATTTTCAAATAACAAAAGCCACAAGCATCCCTCCATCTTCAGATTAATCTGATTCAGGCTGGGATGTAGGTCAGTGGCAAAGTACTTGCTTAGCAAGTACAGCGTCCTGGGTTCAATTCACAGCACCAAAAAAAAAAAAAAACACACACACACACACACACAAAAAAAAAAAAACCACCACAACAACAACAACAAACAACAACAACAAACCCAAACAGATTAATCTGATTCAAATTTTACAAATGTATACACAGTGAAATATATACCAAAATGTTGATTTTTCCCAAGTGGCAATAAACAGACATTTTCATTCATCTATATTTTTCCTACTACTTACTCATATTACAACCACTGTTTGTTTTTTAGTGATGAGGCTTAACCCAAGCACCTATCACATGTTAAACAAGTACCTTTCTGCTAAGCTACATCATAAGACCTCACCTTTTTTAAAAACAAAACAAAACAGCTAAAAAGAAAATACCAAAGTCATTATTTTTAATGACTTGTTTCACTTGTCCAAATTTTCTAGTTCTGTTTTACTTTCCAGTTGTTTTGGACCTTTGGTGGCTACAAAAATTTAAGAGCTTGCTGTGGGTGCAGTCTACAGTCCTCACTGAATTGGTTGTACGGTCTACCATAAGAGTACCAGGAATACCTGAAGGCACTGCTGCTCTAGGTCCACCAATGGGTTAGGAGAATGGGAAGTGCTAAAGATCAAAGGTGGTGGTCATGAAAAAGACATGGACTAGAAAAATTTCTTCTTCCTATGTCATACATGGGTGATATCTTAACATGGATTTAGTCAACCATACAAATTTGCTAATGGTAGGTAAATAGCAAATTTTTGTTAGTTTTCTCTCATGTTGTCCACCTATCCATGTTTCCCAGTGAGACATGCAAAATACCTACAACAATCACCTACAGTTACTGGCTAAAAAAATTGTAGGCCATTACTAGGAATCTCCATTTTAAATAATCTATCAAAAAAGTGTCCAAACAAGAAGAAAAGAATTGGAGACATTGACTACAAAATGAAATAAGAACATTACAAATCTGCTGATGAGCTGCTACTGTTTTCTTACTGGTGTCATCTGTGCTGCTCAATAAACTCAATGAGAAAATATATATAAAAATCTCTCAAGCTAATGCCTTGTCATATCATTTTTGCTATAAATGTTAACTGGTTTTCAAAAAACTCTTGCTATTTAAAAAAACTATATAGTATGTGTGTATATATTATGTGTATATACATATACACAAAAAATAAAGGAAAACAAGGACCTTGATCAGTTGTATAAGCTGTAATAGGAATTATTGATTAATTAGACAGTGCATGTAATTATAACAAAAATTTTAGTTTTGAAAAGTTTTATTTCAGATTTACATAATTTCAAACATCTTCCAAAATACAGTTTCCTAGATCACTACAAAAGAAAGCCAATTCAGTAAGAAATTAAAATCATTAAATATGTTTCACTAGTATATACAGAATGCCAAGCAATAATATTTAGCTCTGGAATGCGTACCGTGTCTCTGTCCTCATTAAAGGCTCAACCCCAGCACTGTGTATAGAATATATACAGTAGACAAAGTTCAAGTACAGAAGTTTGACCTTTAAATTTAACTACCTCAATTTACAGCTGTGGTAGTTTGTCCACTGGGGTGTCAAATTTGAAGTCAGAAGGAAAGAGATCTGGGGCTCGAGGATAGATTAATCTGTAGGACTGTCTGATTGTAACATCAGCAACACCAGCAATATCTCCAATTTCTAAAAGACAAAAACAAGTATTAAGCACACCTACCAGTCTACCTCCTCCTTACTAACAAAAGGAAAAATAAAACCCAGAATATTGATTTTTAACACTGATAATACAATAGCACTGCCGTGTAGAAAGCAGGGGCCATACTCAGTGACAAAAATACAATAGTGTTAATACTACTTAATATTTCAAAGGTTTATTCATAGTATTAAAAGATTTAATTTTCAGAAAATAACTCAGGATATGGCACTACGAGAGTTACAGATGCAATGTTGGGTATGATATTTGAACTGTTATGGTTTTTTTAAATCCATTTGAGAATTAACAGAAGTAATCCACAATACATTGTGTGTGTGTGTGTGTGTGTGTGTGTGTGTGTGTGTGTGTTGTGTGTGTGTGTACGCTTGCACGCAGGCACACACGCTGCAACTTTAACTCAGGGGTTGGATGCTGTTCCTAAGCTTTTTTGCTCACGGTTAGTAAACCACCAAAGAACTGCCACTATAATATTTAACTATTATGAGCAATTTATTAAAATTTCACAAAATTAAAATTTTAAATTTTAATTAAAATTAATATTTAATTCGAACTCATTTTACAACCTTTCAATCAGTTCAAATATGACTGAAATTAGAGTAGGAAAGCTAGCCATGAGCTCTTTAAGTATGTCACTATCCAAGCTCTTTGGGCTCTTATCCACCACTTTTTAGAATAGTTTTAAGTCTTTTGGTAAAATTTTACTGATTTATCTGTGTGGATGCATGCTATCATTACACAATTAACTAATTTAATCATTACATAATTAATTTAAAATTTCCCTATCTTACCTTGCTTTACAGTATTCTTGAAATGAATACTGATAAATAACCATTTGAATAGAAACTGTTTAATGGTCATAGAGAAAAAGGATTATTTCTTTGAAACAGTTCTCCCTGTCAGATTGTCCTCCCACTAGTGGATCTTCCTGCCTCTGCCTCCCTAGCACTCATTTATAGGCGTGGGCCACCACACCAGCCTGAGAAGGTTCTTAAATTTTTAGAAAACTCTTGATGATAAAATTTCATGCATGGCCTTCTTAAACAGAAAGCAAACTGCTGCCTTGTCTTTTTAATTCCTTTTCAAAATCACTCAAGTAATCTATGAATATATACTTGTAAAATAAATTTGCTTGACAGTTCTCACAAAGTTTCTGTATAACACTACAATTAAAAATAGCTTTCTGCAATACTGATTTGTGTCTACATACTTTAGGATTTTAATTAAGAAACTGTAAATAATACTGTACAGAATGAAAAAATAATGTGCTCCACAAAATGTTAAAGGTGATGGCCAACACATTTATGGTGTGGGTGACTGCTAGAGAAATATACCAGCCAGTGGGACACAGCATGTCCTGGCTTCTGACCAACAAGATTTACAAAGCTAAGTTGGGTATAGGAAGGGATAGAGGGGAAGGGAAGAATCCTATTCAAAATGATCTGGAATGTCTAAAGAAAAGTACAAAAACCTAAAACTGAAAAATGGTAGCCAGTCTAGACAAAAAGTTTACAAGACATCCGTCTAAGCTGGGCAATGGAGGCTCATATTTTTAATCCTAGCTACTCAAGAGGCTGAGATATGAAGATTATATTTTGAAGCCAACTCAGGCAGGAAAATCAAACAGATTCTTATCTCCAATAAACCACTCAGAAAAAGCAGGAAATGGTTCTGTGGCGCAAGTGGTAGAGCAGTAGCCTTGAGCAAAAAGAAGCTTAGGAACAGTACCCAAGCCCTGAGTTCAAGCCAAGGGTTGGCAATTTAAAAAAAAAAAAAAAGAGAGAGATTCCCATCTCAACCATAGCTAAGTTGCAGTAGTGTATGCCGGTCACTCAGCTACATGAAAGAAGTAAATAGGAGCACTGAGGTTCAGGATGTCCCAAGAAAAAATAATGTGAGGTTCATTTTAAATATAACTAAAGCAGAAAAGAATGAGGCATGTAGCTCATGTAGTAAAGTGCCTGCCTACCAAACATGAAGCCCTAAGTCCAAAACACCAGTCATACTTTAAGAAGAAAGTAAGTAAAAAGAAAAAAGACATTTGCATAAAGAAACAAGTTGATCAAAGCAAAACAGTTATTTTCTTAAGTTTTGATGCCGAAGAACTAGTGGGTTCTGGGTATTTAACTTAAAACATTGTCTCCCTTCTTGATAAAGAACCTACCCTTTTGGGTCCTCTTCTCAGCTGAAGCCTGTGAGGCCATGTATATAGCTGCTGCAGCCACAGAGATGGGGCTCCTCCCAGGAACCAAGTCCAGTTCCACAGCCTTACGGGCTATGTGTGTAGCTGCCATCTGCACTTGCTTAGGAAGACAAAGGTTGGAACAGAATCTGGACATGAAGTCCCCAGTTGTAATCAAATCCACACTGGTTTCAAGTGCTTTCAAAATAAGTTTGAAACATCGACCAATTTCTTTCTTAGAAATTCGTGATACAGCGCATATTTCTAAAAGAAAAATAGTAAATGAATTCAGATAAGCCATACATAGTTCATTTTAAAATCTACTGTTTCCAACTTTAAAAATAATATATTTTATAGCTGAAAAAGTTTCGGCCATGTCATAAAGATGCAATTCTAACACTCTTAGCAATATGTCCCATACAGCTCATTTGAAATTTCTTGGTTAATTTGAATATTTAATTTAATTATTTAACAGTTTAAAGATAAATTTAGGCCTTAATCTTTCAAAATATGAACTACTCTTCAGTTTCAATTTATATAATAAATTTCTTCAACTAGTCAACTAGTACAAAACATTAATCTATTTTAAGCAGTGTACCAAGAAGACAAGAGAAGCTTGCCAGTACTTGTGGTTCACACCTATAATCCTAGCTAGTCACTCAATAGGCTAAGGTCTGAGGATAGAAGTTCAAAGGTAGCCCAGGCAGAAGAGTCTGGAGACACTTAACCTCCAATAAACTACTTAGAACAATTGGGAAGTGGCTCCACAGTTCAAGTGGTAGATCACTAGCTTTGAACACAAAGAGGCTGAGGGAACATCACCCAGGCCCTGAGTTTAAGCCCCAGGACTAGTTTTATTTAAAAAAAAAAAAAAGGAAAGCCAGGCACTGGTGGCTCACGCCTGTAATCCTACCTACTCAGGAGGCTAAGATCTGAGGATCACAGTTCAAAGCCAACTGTGGCAGGAAAGTCCATGAAACTCATCGCCAATAAACCACTCAGAAAACTGGAAGTGGCACTGAGGCTCAAGTAGCAGAAGTAGAGCACTAGCCTTGACTGAGAGACAGCGCCCAGGCCCAGAGTTCAAGCCCCACAACCAACAACAACAACAAAGACAACAGAAAATATGATACTGAATGAAGAATGCCCCCTAATCCACAATGCCATGTGTACATGAAATCCTTATTGCTATGGCTCCATAGCTCAATAGGAGCTATTGTTCTAAATATTCAACCACTAAACACTTTCGGAATACAGTTAACAAAAGCCTGTTTTAGCTTCAATAATGAAATAATGACACCATTTTCATACTGCCATAAGAAAACATATTCAGTGCATTAATGAAGGGTAAAAGTGTAAGTATCATGAAACGATGAATAGATTCTCACAATATTTATGGGAAACTGCATGAAAAATCAATGAAAACAGATAACTTAAAGCCTCTAATGTGTATAAAACTGCAAATTCCACCCCTCAAGAGAAAAAAATTTCACTGGTACTTTCTAAGACTTGACTCCCTCTGTGCTAGGAGTAGAAGCTCTTTTTCATCACCAAGTTCGCAGACCTCCTACAAAAGTCCTACTGTAAGATAACGCAAGGCTTGAAAAGCATGCAGTCAACTGAAAGACCTTACTAGCAAAGAAGACTCACAGGATTAAAATAACTCTACTATGTTGTCAAGGAACAACATAATCAGGCAGTAGCAAATATGTGCAGGTAGATTACTGTACATAAAAATGAAGACATTATTTACCTTCTGAATGTCAAACTGATTTTTGTCCATTACTTTATGCAACTTAAGACTTACCTTTAAATGTCCTAGGAACCCCTTCTTGTCTGCAGGCAATGTACAGACAAGCAGAAGCTATCGCATCATTAGCCCTTCCCTTCAGGCTCTTCTGCTCATACACTTGCTTGAATAAATTATTTGTTCGATCCTTCAATGCAGAGAAAATAAGTTTAATTAACTCTAGGCTATTTCATTAGTTGCATTATCAAAATTTCATATGTTCATTAAATTATGCTAAATCAATGCCAGAATGGCTTAAAAGACATAGTTGAGAACTTACAACTATATTTCGAGGGAGGTTGATTCTGTCTGCCATGGTAGTGATTTCCTTGAATGCATTCATCATTGCTCGATCAGAACTACTCATTGTTCTCCGATTATGATACTTGGAATTGCCAAACTCATCGAAGCTTGCAGCTCCTGTGCCCTATATAAAACAATGCTTTAAAATATTAACCTTTTTTTTTTTTGGTCAGTTGTGGGGCTTGAACTCAAGGTCTGGGCACTGTCCCTCAGCTTTAGCTTTTTTGCTCAAGCTTGTCCTCTAACACTTGAGGCCCAGCTCCACTTCCGGCTTTTTTCTTTTTGCTTATGTGGTGCTGAGGAATTGAACCCAGGGCCTCAGGCATGCAAGGCAAGCGCTCTACCACTGAGCCACCTTCCCAGCCCCTCCTGGAGCTTCTTTTACTTAAGGCTAGCACTCTACCACTTGAGCCATTCAGGCTTTTTCTGTTTATGTGGTACTGAGGAATTGAATCCAAGGCTGCATGCATACTAGGCAAGCACTCTACCACTAAGCTACATTCTCAGCCTTCCAGCTTTTTTGATGATTAATTGGAGATAGGATTCTCACAGACTGCAATCCTCAGATATCAGACTCCTGAGTAGTGAGGATTACATGTTTGAACCCTCTGTTTTTTTTATACATATGTTTTTGAGACGTGTACTTCCTATTAAAGGCATTAAGCATCAAAAAAAAGTCTATCAATTGGGATACTATGTTTTTTTAAATGCCTGTAATATACTTTTTTGCCATGTTGTATGGCGTAACAAGACAAACAATTTACTTGATACTTCTTGATATAATGTTTTATTTTTTTAATTAATTTTTTTTTGTCTGTTGTGAGGCTTGCATTCTGGGCCTGGGCACTGTCCCTCAGCACTTCAGCTCAAGGCTAGTACTCTACCGCTTGAGCCACAGCACCTCTTCCAGTCTTCTGAATGGTTTATTGGAGATACGAGTCTCATGGACTTTCATGTCTGGGCTGGCTTTGCACCGTGATCCTCAGGTCTCAGCCTCCTCAGCTAGGATTACAGGTGTGAGCCACCAGCGTCCAGCTAATGTTAAATATTTTAAACCTTATTCTGTACCATGTCTTGCAAATCTAATATATAATTTAATAACAAGAACATGAAAATACAGTCGTTTTCATCATATAAACAGACTAAGTAAATACTAAAATATCATATACTTCCTTGATCAACTAATCCTTCAGAATATTGTCACCACTGTTTTCAATTTAGATAACCCAGTTTAAAAAAAAAGTCCAGGTTGTCAAGGAAATTAGTGTGACATAATAACTGCTATTATTTACTGAGCACATGGTAGAGATTACATACTATGTTATTAATATTTTACATTTCCCTTAGACCTTTATTATCTCTATACAATATTTGGTATGGACAGAAAAAGGAGGATGTTCTTGATATTCACAGAATATACTAATATTAACTCAAAGATAACAGTAAACTCAACTTTTTGTGCCACATGCTTTATGAAGAAAAAGATCTGAGATACAGACTCAAATTTTGACTTCGTATTCTACCTCCACATCATTCATAATTTTAGTACTAGCAAGGTTTATTCCCACATTAATATCCCCAGAGGAAGGCAGTAAATGGCACTTTTGCAAAGATCCCAAACTCTCAGATTATTGGTCAATCCGTACTTGGTTATTTCCTGCTGAATGGACTCATTACCTTGCCAATCATAGTAGACAAATCTCCATCACTCAGAAGAGGATTCTGAGAATCTCCAACTCTAGATGGATCTTTTGTTGCTTTATCATTGCTGAAAGTTCTCCATTCAGATCCCACGTCAATGACCCGGTCACCTAAAATAGAAGCATACATCTAAATCATCTAGTCAAGACAGGATTTACCTCATACTTCTAACATCCCTAAATCAGCTCTTCTTTTCCCAGGAAATTTCAACATAGACACCCAGACTCCAGCTTAAATTTCATAATTCAAACATTTGTCCTAAAGCATTAACTATTGTTCCAGTGTAATAATAATCCTCTTTAAACCATATGCTATGATATTCTTAGAAGAGAATTAGGAATAAAGAAGGTCAGGTACAGTGGTACATACCTATAATAGCACTCAATGGAAGCTGAGCTAGGAGAATTTAGTTCAAGACCAACCTGGCTATATAGCAAAATCTTAAAAGAAATGGAGGTGCTGCTCAAGTAGTAGAGAGCCAGCAGTTAAGCCAAGCCTCCGGGTCAGCACCAAGAAAGAAATAAAAACAAAATAAAGCTATTTTCACAAAAATAAGCTTTTTACATTTTTACAGGTCCTGGAGCTTGAACTCAGGGCCTAGGCACAGTCCCTAAGCTTTTTCTTGTTCAAGACTAAGGCTCTACCACTAGAGCTCCAGCTCCAGCTTTTGTCTCACAGATATTCTTGCCCCAGCTGGCTTCAAACCATGATGCTCTGATCTTAACCTCTAAAGTAGCTAAGATTATAAGACTTGAGTCACCAGCATCCAGTTAATAAAGCTATTCTTACATGAGGCAAAGTTTTTATATATAATAATGATTCTGATTCCAGTTTGGTACAAAACAACATGGGGAGATAGAAAACAATTAGATTAGCACACATAAATCACTGTTTTCAACTTGGGAAGAAACAAACAAAATAAAACATTTATATTAATACACATAATCACTAAATATGCATAGGGAATTCTTCCTCTAGAAAATAAGCCTAAAAATATGTCTAACTTTATGTTTTGTACTGTTGGATGAAAAATATTTAGAGACAAATAATTTATATAAAGTAAACATTAAACCTACAATCAGGAACAAGCCAGACAGGAAACTTTTCTTCCAAATAGAGGAAGCAACTAAGTATACCATGTCAAAACACAGGACAAGAGTACATGGCACTGACGACTGCTTTGGGGGAAAAGCTAAGTATCTGGTAATACTTTCAGTGTGGAAAGGCCACACTGAACACTTACATATGGTAGTCACTGCACCCTTTTTAAGTACTCTCATTTAATCCTTATGCCCTCATTACCACTTTACAAATGACACTAATTATTGAGGATTACACTGCTTGTGAACCTAAATGCCCATCAGATTCCAGAGTCTAGTCTACACTGAATTTATAAAATATAAGATCTTTCAATAAACTGCCATAAAAATGGAAGCAGAAAATACAACATTTTCATCTTTCTCATACACCACAATTAGAAAAGGAAAAGGAGTGGCAGAAATTACTTACCTTAAGCAATTATAGGAAGTTATGGTACAGACAGTTAATATGATGGTTAGAAGTGTTGTCTCTGCCATTTGCTGCTCAGCCTTGGACAAATTATTTCATTTAAATACCATCACTTCCTAAGCTTTAGCCTTCATCCATAACTTTGTATTTTAAAAATTATAAAGATTAAAAGAGCTAATTTGTGTGTCAAGTGCTTAATATAGTTCAAAGTAAGTGTTTAATACTATCTGTTTACTGCTACGAAAAAGCAGGCAGATGGTGTAAATGTTTCTCCCTTTTTTGGGGGGAGGGTTGAGAAAGAAATCCATTTTAAAATCTGCATGTAAGACTTTAAAATAATAGAAGTGATCTTTCCAAAGGAAAAAGAAGAATGGAGGGAACAAAGCATCTCAGTACAAATCATGGTAAATCTTTTATAACAGAGTGGACTGATCTCAATCTAATCTTAGTGATATACTTTTAAGAAAACAGGAAAACCTGTAACAGAATGATTAATTCTCAAAGACTGGATAAATTCAATTTTATTTGATCAACCAAAAACATCTGGGAGTAAGCAGCTTAACATCTGTAACATACCTATGTCACAATGGAACGAACTGAGGTTAAGAGAGAGGGGAGGTTCTTCACCCACCATCTCTATATACAATGAGAAGAGTCAGGGAAAGCAAAAGCAGGGAGATCAGTTGAAAGAAATTTAAAATGTTAACATTTCATGTTGCACTGGTTGGCCCAAAGTAAGGAGAAAAACGTTCAAAAGGTAGGACAATCATAGATGTCTGCCTTAAAAGATGAACATCACAAATTCGAGAAGCAAATCTAATTAATTTTAAAAACTTAAAAAAGTATTCTAAAATCTGCCTATGTACTAGAACTTTACTAGAATTCTAACAAACAAGCCTCAAAGTTCACTGAAGAGACTGTTTTCATGACACATTGTTCTCACTAAATTCATTTCATGAGCACAACAGCATTTTTTGTTTTTGTTTTTGTCACTCTGGGACTTAAACGCGGGGCCTACACACTGTCTCTGAGCTTTTGTACTTAAGGTTAGCATTCTACCACTTTGAGCCACAGTGCTACTTCCAGTTTTCTGGTTGTCAACTGAAGATCAGAGGTCTCACAGACTTTCCTGCCCCAGCTAGCTCTGAACTGAGATTCTCAGATCTCAGCCTCCTGAGAAGTGAGGATTACAGGCCTGAGCTACCAGTGGCCCAGCTCACAACAGCATTGTAAGAAAAAGTTAATTTCCTTTGTAGAATCCAAAAATTAAAGGGATAGCATGTGGTTCCTACATGCTTAATTCTCTCATGCTTTCCTACTTAATAAAAATACAAACATGCACATGGATCAAACCATACTTAAAATCCAAAAGGCTTAAGGAAATGCAATCATTCTCTTGAAGTATTTAAGTAACATGGATAGATATATTAAGAGAGCAGTACAAATGAAAAGGCAGGTGAGTATGTCCATGAAGAGTTATTACTAATAGTAAGCCAAGATGTGGTTTTGCTATCATTTGACACCATTTTCCTATGGTCTGAAAGTACCTCACCAAGAATATCTTTTACTGCTTACTTTATGTTACCTTTTAAAAGATAAAATGGATTTAGAAATTATAATTATAAGACTATTGCAATGTAATTTTCCCACATACATGGGAATAATCTAAATTCCATCTTCCAGGATCTGTGGTAAGAACCATTGTCTTTTTATATTTAAAAGGTCAAAATGCTATTTACAAGAAAACAAAACTCCCCAAATAACTCACTCAAGTAGTATACCATGAAGCAACTAGCCAGTAAATTAGACACAAAAATAAATGAGAAATAAGAAGGAACCATTCAGATAAAGAAAAATGGAACTATTTAAAGTATTCTCATTTAAAGAAAATCTAAATGAGGTAAGGTTTTAAAAGTTGCTATGGAAGACAACTGCATCTCAGAATCTTCTGAAGGGATAAGTGATATAAGGTATGCATAATGCTTGATATAATCAACCTTTGTCAGGGAAGCTTGCCAATTAGGAAACACACACAAAAAAAACTTCACATATACTTTAAACCCTCTTGAAATAGAAACATGAGCTTCTCTCTCTTCTAAACTATACACTAATTTACTTTATATAATTTTACACTGATGGGAAGTCTATATTAGGTTATAACATCCAAAATATATGATATATATTTATATTATTTTATATCTTTAACACTTTTTCCTGTTTATGTGATGCTAAGGAATCGAACCCAGGCCCTCATGCATGCAAGGCAAGCACTCTACCACTGAGCCACCTTCCCAACCCTGTCTTTAACACTTTTAATCAAGGTCCTTATCCAGTAAAGTATGTATATCATATATATGCATATGTATGCCTTCCAAACATGGGGCTTTCAATCTATATGCTAAGATATCTAAGGAGTTCTACAAAATTTTATCATATTCTAAAGGAAATATAAATTTAACTTTTTTAAGATCAAACTGAGAATAATCACACCAGAAGGAACCATTCAGATAAAAAAAAAATGGGAATATATAAAGTATTCTATTTGTTGTTTGTTTTTTTTTGTCCGGTTGTGGGGCTTGAACTCTGGGCCTGGGCGCTGTCCCTCAGCTCTTCAGCTCAAGGCTAGCACTCTACCACTTGTGCCACAGTGACACTACCGGTTTTTTTCTTTTTGCTTATGTGGTGCTGAGGAATCGAACCCAGGGCCTCAGGCATGCAAAGCAAGCGCTCTACCACTGAGCCACCTTCCCAGCCCTATATAAAGTATTCTAATTTAAAGAAAATCTAAATGAGGTAGGATTTTAAAAGTTGCTCTGGAAGACAACTATATCACAACAGTTTAAGGTAGTTCAATCACTCTGGAATCCATCTTATCACTTGAAAATTCTCCCTTTAAGTAACCATTTACAAAAATCTCACATGTTTGTAGTGGGTTAGGAGGGATGAGTGACAACGTTATCAGACACTTTGTATTCATATACTGTTTTGTAGAATGGGAACTTCCTTGTATAACCACTTAAAAATAATAAAAAAATTTAATTTAAAAAAAGAATGTTTGTAGCCACATTATTTGCATTAGCTAAAAACTAGAAAACACTTCAATATTCATCAAGAGGAAAATGTTCATGAATCTCTTTTTAAACTATGTATAGAAACACATGGCACATGCCTGTTTTCCCAACTTCTTGGGAGGATAGGGCAAAAGGACCTCAAGTTTAACAACAGCCTGGACAAAATTAGCTAGGCTAATTGGGGGGGGGGGGGGGGGGGCAGGGAGAGGGAATGAAATAATTTGTGGCAGCAATCATCTTCCTTTGTTTCTTTCTTTTCTTCTGTGCCAATCCTGGGGCTTGAACTCAGGGTCTGGGTACTGTTTCTAAGTTTGTTTGTTTTTTTTTAACTGAGGACTAACACTCTACCTCTTGAGCCCCAGCTTTTTGCTGATAAGCAAGAGGAAAGAATCTCATGAACACTTCTGCCCAGGCTGTCTTTGAACTGCAGTCCTCAAATCTCAACCTCCTGAGTGTGAGCCACCAGTACCTGGCTTACAGCAACCATCTTAGACAAAGGAATAATCTTTCCTTAAGATCTTCTTTCAAGC